AAAAAAAAAAAAACAATTTTTCAGTAAATAACCTTAATGACCTCACTTTAGGAAATTGAAAAGCAACCACATAAAGCCAAAAAAACTGAAAGAAAAAGATGATTATAGTTCCGCTGAACAAACAAACCCTCACATCTTTTCAACGGTTCTAATCCCAAGAATATTAAAGCAATTGGCCATCACATCTGCAGTTACTCGACACAGTACTAATCGGTTATAATAGAGAGTTGAGTTACCTTAATAGAAATTTACAAATAAACCTTTAAAAGCCAAAAATTAGAGTAAACAATCTAGACATACAAGTCAGAAGCAAAATAAGAAACCATAAATACCACAATTTTAAAAACAGATTACCTTCACGATCCTTATGAATTACATAACAATCTTTATAAAAATCGTGAAACATCGTAGCGAGTGAGTAGACATAATCGCACATCTAAAAAAAACCAGAAAAAATGTTGTGAAGCCTAAATGAATGACTTAAACAGAATAATAAGAGCATTGAGTACCTGGTGAAGCATTAATGAGTTAAGCACAGCGAGAACGCAGTCCGAGAATTTTAATATAGTTTTTGCAAGCTTTAATTCCTGAGGATGTTCCAGAGGTAACCCAGCCCCCGATAAAGACTTGAGATACTGCTCGACTTCAGTTTCGGAAACTCCAGTGTTTCGGCATATAGAACTACAATACAATGCATACCATAGCTATGAGTCGTCAAGCGATAAAAAAAGTTAGGGAAAAAATAAAACGGCAGCCGTACAAATTGAAAGAAATTTTTTCATCGTCCAAAGGTAAATAACTTTGCAATTAACCGGCCTGAAACGAGGAATTCTGCTAAATTTTGAAAAAAAATTTTATGTGTTTGTGACCATCAGAAATAAGACACTGAATTTTCTGTAAATCGTATGGTTAAAGATAACCGAAAGTTACGAGACATTCTTTGGTGCTTTCCAAAACACAGGAAAACGATTATGAAACGTGTAAAATGAAGCTTACAATGTAGAGTAATATATTACAAGTTGTCTTCCCACTTGATTGCGCTTTCAACATAGGACGCTTTTATTTTTCGTGCTTATGACTAAAGTTCAATACGTCACGTCCGCACAGAGGATGAAACTAATAAACCTACGAAAATCGTCTCTGGAATAAAAATGACTGCAGATTTGCTGACAATTTCTACTGAAGCCGTCCTAATGCCCTGCAGTACTCCAAATCTGTGTAAAATTTTGCCCTGGGAAGTTTTAAACGCAAGAGGCAATTGAATGATGCAGTAGCTGACAGAACTAAGTCGTCAAAACTTTGCTATAGAAGCTCAAGGAAATAAACATTTGTCGCAAAGTTATTTGAACACGACTGGATTGCATAACAGTCAACTTCGCCGAAAGCCGACGGCATGAAGAAACGAATGAAGCAGCTGCAGTTGGAAAAAAACACCTTTGCTAAAACAAAGCGCAGTAAGCAAAGGTACTTTTTAAAAAAGAATGAAAGTTCAACTAAATACCTCGCAACGTCTTTAACTATATTGGATGACGTTCCAATAAGAACTTTTATCACCTTTGCTCACTACTCTTGATTCCAGTAAAGGTGCTCTTTTCAAACCTTAGTCGCTTCAACCGATTCTTTCTAAAAGCTACTGCTCTTCTGCAAGTTTCTTTTCCAAGTAGCCTAACAAAGCAAGAAGCTTTATTATAGACCCTACCCTTCGGTTCAGATGACTTTACGACGCATATTTCATTCCTCAGACTCCTACAGCCTATTCCTTACGTCTTACTTCCGAAACGAAAAAATCACTCGTCTCTTTCCATCGCAGACTTGTGTTCAGAATCCTTCCATCTTAAACACCTGCAGATTTGGACTATTTAAGAGCTGTAGCAACAATTCAAATAGAAATCACAGAAGAAATTAGCAATTGCCTTCATAATAAGGCCAATCTTTTGCAAATCTACTGTTTCCCTCCTCGCAGCAACTGCTATAATGTGTTTATGCTCAATCATAGAACGTGAGAACGCACTATTCTGAGAGTAGAATTAGGTAAAAAGGTCGGTTGTAACATCTTACTTTAAAATTTAACCTCCTTATACCTTCTAAATTCCGCTTCTCCATCCCCCCAGCAACCTCGAGTCCTTCAAAAACCGCCAGAAAGCACCCTATAACTTTTCACAGATTATGTAAAATATTTTGTTTTCTCCTTGCGCGCGCCGCAAATACAAAATTTTTCCGAAATACTGTAACATCTCATACTTTAAAGATGTCATTCCATCATAACAACAGAGTTTTTTCAAATTAGGTAAGGGTATTCATTGGAGTAAAAAGTATTCCATTTTCCACTGCAATCTTGTAACTTTCTGCCAAGGTGCTGAAAGCAATCTGTTAACAAACACATATTATAGATAGAAGAGAGAGGTTGCTAACAATTACTTCGGCTGTTCAAATAAATTTCTTAGCAAAATCTTTTTTTGACTGAAGTTCTAAAAACTATTATTCCCGTATAGACAAAGATTTACTTATCTTTAAACAACAAATCTCTGGAATAAAAATTTCATCTCAATCCTTACGGCAGCCACCGCTTATGGAAAAATCTTACAAAAGCTAAAATGTAAATTAGAAACTACCGTATACGTGCATAAGCATAAAGCAGGTAAACAGCTGTGTTACCCCTGTCGTCTAACATCTAAAATTAAAAGCTTCAGAAAAAAACACAAGAAAAAACAAATTCAAAACTTCCACTCCTTTCACGCAAACAGAAAAGAAACCTTATCGAAGGAAAACACATAATCTTGCGTACGGGTCTGAGAAAGATCTGCGTATTTAATACAACCGTAAGCGACTGCATCTCGTGCATGGTCCAGTTCTTCCTGTGTCATCACCTCAAAAGAAATAGAAATAATGCAGTCAGACGTGAAGAGATACACCAGATTAACATCAGTAAAAACTCCCAGAGAAATTTGTCAAACATTTTCAAAAGATTAAAATTCCAAATTACAAGCATGCTGTGAAAAAGCTGTAGTTACAAACTTTTACACAAGATTTAAAGCTCCATGTCAACTGTTAAGAATAGTATAAGTCGTATATGTAATGCTTTTCTTAGAGAAGCTGTAATCTATTCAAATTGTTTGATATACTATATAGCATATTTCGTCAAAAAAATGAACCTTTTCACGCTCCTTCTCCCTAAGCTTAGCCGTTGCTCTTTTAACACCTTCGTTTAGTAAATCAGTTAACTTCACAGTCTCACCAGAACGAGTTTTAAACTTTTTCCTGCAAAGAAGAAAACAGAAAGAAGGTAGAAGCCATGAAGCCCCAAGAAAAATCCAATGACTAACTTGTCCTCGCCAAGAACAAGTCCAAAAGCAACATGCTCAACTCTCTTCGACCTTGGATCATACCAACCAAGATCTCTTGCGCCAGCGAAAACGGTCTAAAATGCTAAACAGCTTGTATATTTTAATTTGTAGTAGAAAATAAAAAAGCGAGATAACATGAAGAATAGGTGACCAACAACGCCTCCAGTATCACTTTAAAAAGAACAGTAATACTTCAAGATGTAAGCTTTGTCCAGCATCGACAACGTAAATAACCCAGTCGTGTTTCTCCACTATCAATCTGTGATATATGGCGGCCAAATCAGATGTATCATACGTGTTGCCGCCATCTGATTTTACCAGGATAAGAGGGATCTCACATCCAGTAGGAAACATGACCTTTCTGCCATCATCTTCTTTTACCACACCTTATAAAAGAAGAATTAGATGACAGCCAAATAACCTTCTTAATCATACTAAAATTCTAGACGAGCGAAACAGTTAAGTCAAAATATAGCTAATTAAGTACCTTTAGCCTCCAAGTCCTTAACAATATCAACCATCATTTTCTGATAAAATGATTCGCCGCGTTCAGTAATTTTAATGTCCAAACGTTGATATATTTGAGAAAAATCTTTTCGAGAAATATCACAAATCATCTTCCAAGCTTTTACGAAGTCAGGTTCATAACTTTGAAGTTTTACAACACAATCAAGCGCACGAACTTTAAAATCTGGTTCCTCATCAAAACGTTTTTTAGATTCCTAGGAATAATAGAAATACAGCAAAACCAAAACGTAAAATCCAAGAGCAAAAAAAAATCCAACGACTTTCACCAACATTTCAAAACAAGCTGCTTACTGAATTTATGACTCATGTAAAAAAAAGTAGCAACAGTTATCTCAGAAAAAATTTACTGTCTCACCTTATAAAATGCTTGTAAATCAGAAAGCGGTGGCGGTTCATGCAGAAAATTAGGAAAACGATCTTGAAGATGAGCAATAAGCATACCAAACTGCGTCCCCCAATCACCAATATGGTTGATTCGCAAAACCTACAAACAGAGTACTCCGTAAGATTGCAGAAATCACTGAAGCTCAAAATAAATCATTTTTCAAATTCTAACCTCGAAACCAATATACTCGAGTAACCGGCAAATCCCATCACCAATAATGGTAGACCTGAGGTGACCCACATGCATTTCTTTTGCAATATTTGGAGATGAAAAATCAACTATAGCTCGACGCTTTGCCACTTTGGGTTTTCTTATTCCCTTAAAGAAAAAAAAAACAATTTTTTTTCGCGAAATTTAGTAGTAAAGTTAATAATTTATTATTGTTCAGTTGGAATAGATAAATCAAGAAGTAAATAAATGAATAAAACATGAAAAAACCTCTCTTGCAATCTTTGCGACTCTCTCCGAAATCCAGTTCCTGTTAAGAAATACATTTATATATCCCGGACCAGCTACTTCTACCTAGAAAAACTAAATAAGCCCTAAAATACGCAGATAAATAACGTTAATAAGTACCTTTTCAATCCTCTCGGAATCACTCAAATTTTTAATGATATTATTAGCTACGTCACGTGGTGTCGTTTTTTTCGCCATTTTTGAAAGTTTCTAAAGTACAAAGTTTTAGCACTCATGGCGCCAGGAAGTACGAGATTGATTAACGAACTAATCAAATGAATGCAAACATGCACGATATTTAAACCTGGGATAAACGAAAGAACAGAGCAAAAAGTTTGGAATGGAAAAAAACCATGAGACGGCAAAGGTAAGGAAATGTAAAAGCAAGACAAAATTTAACAGCTAACAACGATTTTCAAAAGGTATTCTCTGAAACAAAATACCAAGCTCATGGCACAAAAGATGTTGTCTTTCACTAATTGCTTATCCAAATTAAGTGTCAAAAAAACCTGCGAAATAGCCATTGAAGAGTTAAACTGATAGTCACCAAAATTCTGGTTTGTCGTTTCAGAAATCAGAATCGGAATATCACTTAGTTCCTGGTAACTCTAAATAACCTGTAGAGTCACGCATTATTCTAAGATGTTGTTTTCATCAAGCCGACAACGAATATTGGTTAGCCAGAATGAAATAAGAACCAAAGAAACAAGATCTTTTTACTAATATAAGTTATTTTCTTTGATCAACTGCGGGAATGAAAGAAGTTTTGCCGGACAAAGACAAAAAATGGTCTTATTCTCCACGTTATTAATAGTTCAATAAACAACTGCGAAACAAAATTAAAAGTGACTCCTGTATTGACCTTTGCAACAGCTTCGTAGAAAAGCTTTTTAAGATACTCAACGAATGAATCTCCAGAATCTTCGACAATTACGTAGTTATAATCATTCCGAATTTTCGCTGTACCACCACCACTATAAAATTGTAACCAAAAAGACTATACAAGAAAATGAGCAGCAGCGAGTTCTGCAGCAACATTAAAGCCAAAAAAAGCTTACGTATACTTCTTTTTCCCATTCTCCTTAACCGTCCCAACCTGTCCCAAACCTTTTTCTTTGGAACTATCAATTTTCCTTGACTTCGCAGATCTTGCATTCAGAGCTTCTTGCTCCTTAATACTCTAAAATATCTTCTTCATTAGGGAGACGCACCAATTACAATGGCTAGAATAGGAAAATCAATTATAAAAGTTGAATTACTTCTCTTAAGATATGTGTCCTATAAACCATTTTTTCAACCTCCATCTTTTCCTTTGCAAGCTCTGGACACTCCTCAAGAAGCTCTTCCAATGACTCATTTCGATCCATAGCATCCATCAGTCGATGAAGCCGATTAAGTTCTTCTGTCTGCAACTACAGCAGTAAGTCTACATTCAAACCATACATCTTCCTATACCCTTCAAAGGATCACATAACATCAGAATCCACCGACGAATTTAGAGTATCAATACCGAAGAAATCAGCTGCTTTCTGAATTCGTCCAGCTCCTCTTCCGGCAAAAGCCTAACCTCATCTTCAGCAGAATTCATTGCTTGTTTACCTAGATGACAAAATACATATTACTTTGTACAATAACAGACAACCTTAAGGAACTCACTTTATCGTCAACAGGTCTTCCTTGCTCACAGGCCCCCACCACAACCAACACTTCAAACTATTACATCACCAAATAGTACTCTT